ATAGACAAATGCAAAGTTCTAAATGTTGGACAGGACAATAACCATGCCATCTATAAACTGAATAGTGTAAATCTTAATACTACTGACTGCAAAAAGGATTTAGGAGTTCTGGTTAGCAGTAATCTGAAACCAAGACAACAGTGCATAAGTGTTCGCAATAATAATAAGTGTTCATATCAAGAGGAATAAATAACAGAAGTCCTCAGGTTGTTCTTCAACTCTATATATCCTTGGTTAGGCCTCATTTAGATTATGCTGCACAGTTCTGGTCACCATATTACAGAATGGATATAAATGCTCTGGAAAACGTTCAGAGGAGGATGACAAAGTTGATTAAATGTATCAGAAATCTTCCCTATGAGGGCAGACTGAGGGCCCTGAATCTGCACTCTCTAGAAAGGCGTAGAATTAGGGGGGATATGATTGAGGTGTATAAATGGAAAACAGGAATAAATAAAGGGGATGTAAATAGCGTGCTGAAAATATCCAGCCAAGACAGGACTCGCAGCAATGGTTTCAAATTGGAAAAGTTCAGATTCAGGAAGGATACAGGAAAGCACTGGTTTGGTAATAGAGTTGCGGATGAGTGGAACAAACTCCCGAGTACCGGGATAGATACACGAGTGGGTGTGAGTTGGACCTAACTAGCTTGTGCTACCAGGTCTGGTGCAGTGCTCCTTCCTTAAGTGGAAGTGACCTGACTAGGTGGTCATTGTTCTAGGCCGGGGGGTTACCTGGAGGTTACCTGGAGGTTATTCCGGGGATCAACGCCCCCGCGGCCCTGTCCATGACCAGGCCTCCCGATGGATCAGGGCCTGATCAACTAGGCTGTTACTGCTGGCCGCACGCAGTCCAACGTACGAGCCACAGCCCGGCTGATCCGGCACTGACTTTAGGTATCTGTCCAGCTCTCTCTTGAAGGCAGCCAGGGGTTTATTAGTAATTCCCCTAATGCTTGATGGGAGGCTGTTGAACAGTCTTGGGCCCCGGACACTTACGGTGTTTTCCCTTAGTGTACCAATGGCGCCCCTACTTTTTATTGGGGGCATTTTACATCGCCTGCCCAGTCTTTTACTTTCGTAGGGAGTGATTTCTGTGTGCAGATTTGGGACCATTCCTTCCAAGATTTTCCAAGTGTAGATTATGATATATCTCTCCCTCCTGCGTTCCAACGAGTACAAGTCAAGTGCTTCCAAGCGTTCCCAGTAGTTAAGGTGCTTGACAGAACTTATACGTGCAGTAAAGGATTTCTGTATACTCTCTAGATCTGCGATTTCACCTGCTTTGCATGGGTCAGTAGACCTGTTGCAGTGTTCTTTCTTTCTTATGTTCTTCTTAATAAGTGTCAGAGACCCAATGCTGTTCAACTGCTTCCCATTATCCATAAAGGGAATTACCAAAAAACCCCTGGCTGTCTTCAAGACGGAACTGGACGGATACCTAAAGTCAATACCTGACCAGCCTGGTTGATCACTTCATGCATGCACTAGCGAGGCCTGGTGTACAATGGACCGGGTCGCGTGGGCGTTGATTCCCTCGCCTCGAACTTCCCTCTAGGTAGATACTTGACATATCTCTTATTCGAGAAAGTGGGTATGTTAGCGAGGTGATTCAGAGTTAAAGATTTATTAACTCTCAGGCCCCTAGGATGTGCTCCGGGTACTAGGAGGTGCATAGGGTCTATGTGTAGGGATCTAGCATGTGCTGTAGGAGTTTGAATGGACGCTAAGGATTGCTATGAATGTACTAGGATTGTTTACCTGGAAAGGTAGGAATGTTGCTACGGGCATCAAGGATGTTGGCCATCTAGAAATGGTGCTAGAGGCATCTAGGATGGTGCTAGGGCATCTAGAGAGGGCTAAGGGAGTCTAGGATGGTGATAGGGATCTAGATATCGTGCTAGGGGGCGAATAACTAGGATGTGATATGCTCTTAGTGAATGGTGCAGGAGCGACAGATCGTCTCCTAGGCATCTAAGATGGTTGCTAAGGCCATCTGGATGTGCTTAGTATGAATGTGCTAAGGGTTCCTAGGATGGTGCTAGTATCTAGTCATTCGTGCTAGGGCGTTCTACTAATGCGCGCTCAACTCTCCTACTGCAAAACGTACACACTTCAGTGACTTCTCCTCCCTCTTACATATCGCGCGACAGTTCGGGAGGCCGAGCACGCGAGGACTCACGACACGTCGCCCTTGCCGAGAATGAGGCGCAGGCAGCATGGCGAGAGCAGCAGGCTGGACGAATCGACAGGTATCTAAGACACTACAACAGGCACTAGTCCGAACACCAACGACGATTGCACGCAGACGTCATTTCCCCATCCCTTCACGTGGCCTGCAGGGAGACTTCCTCACATCGTTTGCCTGACTACACGTACTCGTAACCACAATCTACTTCCTCCTCTCTTTGTCACTTCTCCCATCGTCACTCTCCTCACCTTCCTACTGCTTCTCCATCCAGTTCCTCTTCCTCCCCCTCGTACTCTACCAAACCGTCCTTCCTCCACTCCTACCGCTCGTCCTCCTTCCCTCGTCATCTTCCTCCACCCACCGTCACTTCCTCCCCCACTCCGTCACTTCCTCCACCACGACCTCACTTCCTCCACCACTCCGTCACTTCCTCCCCACTACCGTCACTTCCTCCACACTCTCGTCACTTCCTCCACACACCCGTCACTTTCTCACCACTCCGTCACTTCCTCCACCACACCGTCACTTCCTCCACCACACCGTCACTTTCCTCCACCACTCCGTCACTTCCTCCACCACACCGTCACTTCCTCCACCACTCCGTCACTCCTCCACCACACCGTCACTTCCTCCACCACACCGTCACTTCCTCCACCACAACCGTCACTTCCTCCACCACTCCGTCACTTCCTCACCACACCGTCACTTCCTCCACCACTCCGTCACTTCCTCCACCACACCGTCACTTCCTCCACCACACCGTCACTTCCTCCACCACTCCGTCACTTCCTCCACCACACCGTCACTTCCTCCACCACTCCGTCACTTCCTCCACCACACCGTCACTTCCTCCACCACACCGTCACTTCCTCCACCACACCGTCACTTCCTCCACCACTCCGTCACTTCCTCCACCACACCGTCACTTCCTCCACCACTCCGTCACTTCCTCCACCACACCGTCACTTCCTCCACCACACCGTCAAAACATTCACCTGGGAGTTTTCTCATCCAAGACATACGAGACAGTAATGTCTCATCCCAATGAGACATTATCAGCCACCTCTCTTGTATTTCTCACCTAATTACCCAAAACCCAAGGCAGATTACCTTAATGACCAAAAATCCTACACACCTTTTTAAGTTCTTGAACTCGACTCTGAGGGAGAGATAATTATTGAGATGGAGGAGATTTGTTGAGGCTGGTAAAGGGCTCTTGATCCTGGGGAATGGAGCTACTTTTTCTTCTTTCTCGGAGCAGACTTGATTACCTCCCAATCCCATGGTTTAGCAATTCCTCATGAATCAAATAATAATAATAATAATATATTATTATTATTATAATAATATTAATAATAATAATAATAATAATTGTATAAAATATGAGAATATCTGATAAAATATACTTCCGTATATCTTTATAACCATATATGGAATATAACACACACATACGTGTATATATATATATATATATAAATATATATATATATATATATATATATATATATATATATATATATATTCACATTTTTCTGTGTAGTAGAAAATTCGCATTACAATTGACTGATGCTGTCTCTCTCTCTCTCTCTTTTTTTTTTACACAGGGTTTAACAAGCTATTTACAGGTTAAGGATTCCTACCTTTATTGACAAGCTAAGAGCTGTTACCTACATCAGCTCATTTGAAAGCATTTTTATTGTTATGAGACATACAAGTAGGGAACAAGATGAAGTTGGAGCCATCTGTGGGCCAGCATTTTCATTTGATCAACTGACTTTATCTCGTTGACATCATTATGCTGTACGAATTTGTTCCATACTCGAGTCATCCTGGGTATGTATGATCTCAGATAGAGTGATGTTCTGGAGAAGGGTACAGCCAGAGTGAAGTTGCTGCTTTCTGCCCGTCTTGTGGCATAAAAGCTTGTTTCACGCTGTCCTCGAAGTGGATCCAAGTGTGGTATTTTGACAATATTGGCCTTGTACATAACAGTAAGGCCACCCACATCCCTCCTATGTTGAAGGCTCTGCTGAAATGACAGATCTATCCAGGATGGGTCCAGGCGAGAGATGAGACTTCTTGCTCTGTTCTCTACTCTGTCAAGCAGTCGCAGATGAGAGGGGGGGCAGGCAAACCAAGAAAGTGGAGCATACTCAAGGTGTGAGCGTACTTGTGCCTCGTACAGAATCTTGCAACCCCTTACTGTCAAGCAGATGCGAGATACGGCGAAGTGCTGTAAGCTTCCTGGCTGCCTTGTTTGCAAGATTTACAACGTGGTTCTCTCTCTCTCTCTCTCTCTCTCTCTCTCTCTCTCTCTCTCTCTCTCTCTCTCTCTCTCTCTCTTCCCTCTCATCCACTTCACTTATCGTCACGAGCTTTGCAACATGAAATGCAGCATAATGAGGGAACCTCACAGTACTGCTGGGTCAAGCACTCAATATTCATTTGCATAGCAGTATTTAGGGTGCAGATAGAGAAATCCACGGACTAGCGACAAACTACCAAAGAGGAGTGACAGCATATGTAAGTAATGAAGAATCAAGAGGAGAATTGTGGGAGCACGCAAGGCGACCGACGGTCAATATATATTGAAAAGATCAGAGGCGAGGAGAGGCCAGAATGTCCCCAGTGAAACAAATTTTAGCTCAGACAAACAGATGTCACCCCCCCCGTTACGTCAACAACAACAGAGGCTATATTAACAACAACAGACACGACGTCACTCAGCAACAGTGGCCACTTCATTAACGACAGTGGCTACATTAACAACAACAGAAATTACGTTAAGGACAACAGAAGCTACATCAACAATGGCTAAGTCATCAACAACAGTGGCTAAATCAACAACAGCGGCTACGTCATCAAAAAATAGAAGCTACATCAAGAACAGAGGCTACATCAACAACAACAGTGGCTACGTCATTAAGAGCAGTGGCTACGTCATCAATAACAGAGGCTGCATTAACAACATCAGAGACTACATCAACAAAAGTAATAGCTACGTCATTAACAGCAGTGGCTATATTAACGACAACAGAGACTACATCAACAGTAACAGAGACTGCATCAGCAACAACAGACTACAACATCAACAACAGAGACTACATCAACAACAGAGGCTACATTAACAACAACAGAAGTCATGGAATTAACTACTCGAGATGTCACTTAGAGTGAAGGAATGTAACATGTCAGATGACACAGCAACCGCAGTAACTGTGTTACCGCAGTGTGAGAGAGAGAGAGAGAGAGAGAGAGAGAGAGAGAGAGAGAGAGAGAGAGAGAGAGAGAGAGAGAGAGAGAGAGAGCAAGAAGGTCGAGAATGAAGCATGAAAATTGATGGGTTCTTCCTCATTCCTGACAGTCTTCTTAACAATTGGTGTCACACTGGCTATCTAAGGTCAGTCTTTAACCAGAGTGGCAGCCATCAGGCAGGCATTGCTGGCTACTAGTGCCACTCTGTTCACTGCTGCCACGGCCGCCAAGTATTGTGCCCAGTACAGACAGGAAGCGCGTCTGTCTGGTGCTCGGCAGACGGAGGATCAAGCCCCCACCACGTCTTGCACTGAGAGACCCACATGGGTTTAGCGCTGAACGTGAATTATTATCAATTACTCTACTGTGCCAGCAAAGGATGCAATGGTGTCGTGTGCACTTCTGAATGGAGAGAGAGACAGAGTAAGAAAGAGAGAGAGAAGAGGAGAGAGAGAGAGAGAGAGGAGAGGGAAAAAGAGAGAGAGAGAGAGAGAGAGAGAGAGAGAGAGAGAGAGAGAGAGAGAGAGAGAGAGAGAGAGAGAGAGAGAGAGGATAGCATCAGGGGAAATAAATCCATTCTTAATCCGTTGGGAGCGGGATTAATAGACTGAAATACGGGGTCAGAAATTAGGAAATTGTAGATAATTGCCTATTACTGCTTCTCTCTCTCTCTCTTCTCTCTCTCTCTCTCTCTCTCTCTCTCTCTCTCTCTCTCTCTCTCTCTCTCTTCTCTCTCTCTCTCTCTATCTATCTCTCTTTATCTCTATCTCTTTCTCTCAAACCAAATAGTCTGAGGAGTTTCTATCTCAGGGGATTCCAAACACCCACGTACAATGTCAGGGGTTCCGAAACACCCACGTACAATCTCAGGGGTTCCGAAACACCTAGGTACAATCTCAGGGGTTCCAAAACACCCACGCACACTCTCAGGGGTTCCAAAACACCCACGTACAATTTCAGGGGTTCCAAAACACCCACGTATTATTGAACTCTTTATAACTTGTTGCTCGTCTATAGGGCCCACTGGCCTGCCACTTGCTAAATAAGTTAATTTGATTTTTGTACGCCTATTTTGTGCGGGATTTGTTGACGGGATTTTAGTGTTTGCGTGTCCTGGAATTGTTTGTTTGTCATTAATTGTTTGATTGTAATTTAGTACGGAGTCAGTTGTATGATTTATGTCAGGGGAAATAATACAACGATATACACAGGTTGTATTGTGACGTTTACATACACGTGTGCATGCATATGTATATGTATAGATACATACATAATGAATGCATGCCTGCATGCATAATGAATACTTACATACATACACATACATATATTCAAATATACTTACACGCATTCATGCTTACAAATATACATATATGCATATAAATATACATACATCTCTTTTATATTTAAATATATATATATATATATATATATATATATATATATATTTTATATATATTTTATATATATTTATATATATATTATTTATATATATATATATATATATATATATAGAGAGAAGAGAGAGAGAGAGAGAGAGGAGAGAGAGCTCACAAAACACCAGCTAAAAAGGTCGATTTTTCGGCAGAAGTTTCCCCTAAGGCACTGAGACTGGCTTTCCTGGTGGTTGCCAGCGTTTAATGGATGAACTAATGCAACAACTTCATAGTTCTATCCCCTGGGTAAATCTTGCAATATATATATATATTTTATATATATATATATATATTATATATATATATATATTAATATATATATATATATATATATTATATTTTATAATATATATGTATTATTGCTCTCGCTTACCACGAGGCAGGTCAGTACAACATGGGTTCGAATTACTTGGCAAGCGCAGTGTTGTTGTTGATATATATATATATATATACTATATATATATATTATATATATATATATATATATTATATATATATATATATATAGTATATATTATTATATATATATATATATATTATATATATATATATATAATATATATAACAAGACGGCCGACTTGTTAAAAAAAAAAAAATAATAATATATATATATATATTTATATATATATATCATTATATATATATATATATATTCCATGATATATATATATATATATATTATATATATTATATACATTTGCTTGTGTGTGACTCCTAATTGGGTTGCAGGTGTCGGACTCAGCTCTGCCCGCCTCTTTTACTGATCGCTACTGGTCCTCTCTCTCTGGTTCCTGAGCTTTGTCAACTCTTCTTAAAACATGTATGGTTCTGCCTCCACTACTTCACTTGCTAGGCTATTCCACTTGCTGACAACTCTATGACTGAAGAAAAAAACTTCCTAACGCCCGTGACTCGTCTGAGTCTTCACTTCCAGTTGTGACCCCTTGTCCCTTTTCCCCTCTCTGGAACATCCTATCTCTGTCCACCTTGTCTATTCCCGCAGTTTTATTGTATGTCGTTATCATGTCTCCCCTGACCCTTCTGTCCTCCAGTGTCGTCATTTTCGATTTCCCTTAACCTTTCTCGTACGACATTCCCTTGAGCTCTGGGACTAGCCTTGTTGCAAACCTTTGTACTTTCTCAACTTCTTGACGTGCTTGCCCAGGTGGGTTCCAAACTGGTGCTGCATACTCCAGTATGGCCCTAACATACACAGTGTACAGTGTCTTGAACGATTCCTTATTAAGGTATAGGAACGCTATTCTCAGGTTTGCCAGGCGCCCGTATGCGCAGCAGTTTATTTGGTTGATGTGTGCCTCCGGTGATGTGCTCGGTGTTATGGTTACCCCCAAAGGGCTTTCTCCCCGAGTGAGGTCTGTAGTCTTTGTCCACCTAGCCTATACTCTGTCTGTGGTCTTCTTTGCCCCTCCCCAATCTTCATGACTTTGCATTTGGATGGATTGGATTCGAGAAGCCAGTTACTGGACCACATGTCCAGCCTGTCCAGGTCTCTTTGCAGTCCTGCCTCGTCCTCGTCCGATTTAATTCTTCTCATCAACTTCACGTCATCTGCGAACAGGGACACTTCAGAGTCTTTTCCTTCCATCATGTCGTTCACATATATCAAAAATAGCACTGGTCCTAGAACTGACCCCAGTGGGACCCCGCTCGTAACAGGCGCCCACTGTGATACCTCTTCACGTACCTGCCTCCCTGTCAGGTATTCCCTTATCCATTGCAGTGCCCTCCCTTTTACATGCGCCTGATCCTCCAGCTTCTGCACTAATCTCTTGTGGGGAACTGTGTCAAAGGCCTTCCTGCAGTCTAGGAAAACGCAATCTACCCACCCTTCTCTCTCGTGTCTTACTTCTGTTACCTTGTCATGCCTTCCATGAACCCATGCTGGTTTTCATTTATAATCTTGTTCCTTTCCAGGTGTTCGACCACTCTCCTCCTGATAATCTTCTCCATGATTTTGCACACAATACATGTCAGAGACACAGGTCTGTAGTTTAGTGCCTCGTTTCTGTTTCCTTTCTTAAATATGGGGACTACATTAGCTGTCTTCCATTTCTCAGGTAGTTGCCCAGTTTCAAGGGATGTGTTGAAGATTGTGGTTAGAGGCACACACAGTATCTCTGCTCCTTCTCTAAGGACCCATGGAGAGATGTTGTCCGGTCCCATCGCCTTTGAGGTGTCAAGGTCATTTAAGAGCTTCTTCACCTCCTCCTCAGTTGTTCGTATGTCATCCAACACTTGTTGGTATATTCCCTCTTGATGTTCCCTTCTGTGCTGTCTTCCCACAGCCCTTCCTGTCTCTACTGTAAAATCTTCCTTAAATCTCCTGTTCAGCTCCTCACATACCTCCTGAGCATTTCTTGTGAGTTCTCCACCTTCTGTCCTTAATCTGATCACCTGGTCTTTGACTGTTGTCTTCCTCCTGATGTGGCTATACAACAGTTTCGGGTCAGTCTTGATTCTCGATGCTATGTCATTTTCATACTGTCGCTGGGTCTCCCTCCTTACCTGTGCATACTCATTCCTGGCTCTGCGACTGGTCTCCCTATTTTCGTGTGTTCTCTGCCTTCTGTACTTTTTCCATTCTCTATTGCACTTTGTTTTTGCCTCCTTACACCGTCGGGTAAACCAGGGGCTCGTTCTGGTCTTCCCATTGTTACTGTTGCCCTTGGGAATAAACCTTTCCACTGCCTCCTTGCATTTTGTTGTTACATATTCCATCATTTCATTTACTGGCTTTCCTGCCAGTTCTCTGTCCCACTGGACCTCCCGCAGGAAGTTCTTCAACCCTATGTAGTCCCCTCTTTTATAGTCAGGCTTTTCCCATTCAACTCCTGTTATTCTCTTCACTTGCAGCTCTACTATGTATTCAAAGCACAGAACCACGTGGTCGCTAGCTCCTAGGGGACTCTCATACTTGATGTCCTCAATGTCTGAGCTGCCCAGGGTGAACACAAGGTCTAATCTTGCTGGTTCATCCTCCCCTCTCACTCTGGTAGTGTCCTTAACATGTTGGTGCATGAGGTTTTCCAGCACCACGTCCAACATCCTGGCTCTCCATGTTTCGGGACCCCCATGTGGCTCCAGGTTTTCCCAGTCAATCTCCCTGTGGTTGAAATCCCCCATAACCAGCAACTTTGCTCTGCTGGAATGAGCTCTTCTTGCCACCTGAGCAAATGTGTCCACCATTGCTCTGTTGCTCTCTTCATATTCCTCTCTTGGCCTCCTGCAGTTCTGTTGTGGATTATACATCACTGCAATGACCACTTTGTGTTCCCCAGACTGAAGTGTACCTGCTATGTAGTCTCTTTCTCCCGTCTCATCTATGCCTTCCATTTTCTCGAA